TAGCATTTTTCGAGAAAAAAAATGCAAGAAAACCGTCGGGTAACAGCAGGCTATTGAAAGAGTTTTCTCTACCGGGATCATATGTTTTGGTCCTAAAAGCTCGTACCTTACCACTTACTGCTAGAGGTGTGCTCGTTGACGAGGACGTTTCAATCCATCCCTGTCTTATTTGTTTAATTAAACTTTAAGGACGCAGTTGGCTTGGGGGGGGCACCGAATGGTACTCAACGTTGTTTGTGCTGGCCACCTTGTGAAAGCCTTCAAAACCCGGTAACTAAACGGGCTCACTTATGCTGTTTAGGAGCTTCACAAGGGTTTACATGCCTCACCAATGTGAGAGCTGTTAGTGAACGTGAACTAGCAAAGAGAACTAGCGAAACTGCAAAATGCCCCCTTAGCCCGACCAGCGCCTTTTTTGAGGTCTTTTCATGAATAACTTTGTTGATAGTTATTGATTTTTATATTCTCTAGCTCTATGGGTATTGATTCATCATTCCCGGTAAGCTCTAAGAAAGTGTCGTAAAAGTGTTGTATAGGTGTTGTGTTGGCGCTAGTGAATTGTTCGTTCCCCTTGCAATCAATCGATAATTTCTGGAAGGGTTTTTGTTGAGGATCTTTCGGGACAGCAACTTTTTCGCTTACACTGACACGCAGAATTGGAAAAAAAACAGCAAAGAGCGAAACATATGTTGACTTGGTTTTGCCGTCCAGGAGTTATCGATTGGCTAGAAGTTGTGGAACGCTATTTTATGACATGATACATTTAATTCTTTCAAGGAAAACTGAGAACTGTTGTTTCAGATTGCGCAAGATCCAGGAGCTAAACGACGGAGGTTTGGGTGCGGAGCTGGCGATAACACCCCCGTCGTCGAATCCGCCCCCAGCGGTCACCGTCACAGCAACTCACATGAGCTCGGCTCAAATTGGGATTTCTTCGCTTAGCAATTCGATGATGGATGTGAACGGGTATGTCCCTCTTCGAATACCCGCTGTAGGATAAGAAGTTTTATGAATCAGCACACACTATGGTCGGGAAATCGTCAAGGAGGGGTCGTATTTGAGTCGTTCTGAGTAGGGGTCGTACTTGTGTTGCTCACAGGGATTTGCCTCAACTTAGAGTGTGGGAAGTTTGGGAAAGATTGGAACCTTTCGCCGGACTACAATTCCCCTCCTCCTCTTTCCCTGAGCGAACAGTTTTCGGACGGGCTTGCTCACACCAATTGTGTTCTTCATCGGTGCGCCCGCCCCTTCGGTAGAAAGTTCTGCTACAGTAGAAAGAGACCCGCAGCAAAGACGAAAGATCAAAAGTTTATGAATTTCTAACTACTGATCCGCCCACCGGTAACAGATAAGCGGCAGGGCACATATAAAATTGTTGCAGTGTACGATGCCCACCGGAATTTCCTGCTGTGTTAGGAACCCCTCTCCCATCTTACCTACCATCGTGCCGAAAGTTTTCCAACTTCCGCTTTGCCAGTTTGCAAAGAATTTCACCGGTTTTTTTTTCCAAAAAATTGCTGGGGCATGTCTTTGCTGGTCAGAGGAAAATAAAAGTCAGCCGCGATGCAGCGGAAAAATATTTCCGCTCATCGCGTCTCTCAATGCCAGTTGCGACCGCCCTCCCCTCTCTTCGCCCTCCTCTCACCGCCTTCCATGGAATTCTTCCGACACTCACGAAGAATCTCTTTGTGGCAAAATACAACCCCCTCTCCAGCGATCAAATACAGCCTCTGTTGTGTTTCACAGAATAATTGTGTGCCTTGCTTGGCGCTAGTGTGTAATAGATTCGTAGCCTAAACAGATTCTCACCCAAGTGGCACGATGAATCCCCAAGACCTGTGGGATTTACACGCCTAGCAGGACAGATTTCCACCCCTGAGCAGGCGCTGCGCAGCCCTTTTCAAGAAAGGTGCCCTTATAGCCTCTGTCCGGCTGCAACATACCGACCCGGACGCCCACCGCGCCCGCCCGCCCACAATTGTCCGAGCGATGCTGATGCTCTTGTAGCTTCATTTGCGAAGTACAGTATGAAGCGAAGGGAATGATATAAAGCGGTGTTGCGGTGCTGCATGGATATATGAGTACACACATGCAACTCTTATCGACCGGGTTACAAAGCAGAGGCTTTTTTGGAGGTTTTTGACCGTTCCACTCCGATTTTTTTGTTACTCCCAGTATATAGCACTTCTGCTACCATTTTAGACTTAGGCAGCGTTCAGACTTCGCGACGGCAGCGCTTCGGTCGCGCGTCGACGCGATCGATGCGCATGCTTTCGACTGCATCGATCGCGTCGAACGCGCGACCGAAGCGCTGCCGTCGCGAAGTCTGAACGCTGCCTCAGTACAAAATTATCGTGACTTGTGTTGAGAGGGCGAAAACAGGTCTCGAGATGGCTGAATTACTAATACGCTGCATCTTAATAACTAACCTGTTGGACTGCGGAGCTATGGTACATCTGCTCATATATCTTTATTATTCCGGAAATCTAAGCTATTTCAAACTTGAAGTAATTGAGCGATCAATCAATAATGTGATCGATTCCTTTGCGGAAACCTGTCGATGTGGTGGAGTCCTTTTTTATATTTTCTGCTTTCAGGAGTCGATGAGTTGCTCACCCTTGGCAGACCAAATCAACGGCGAACCTCTTCCTGTTTCCCTTATCACTCATAAATTTATTTCCTCCCAATCAGTCAGGTGTATGATTTAGCGTTTTTTGCGTTTTCTATGCATCGCCTTATAGCCTTGATGATGACCTGACTAACATCTGCGGCCCGCGCAGGTGCTCATATCAATAGGGTTTTGAATTATGTATTGTTGTAAGTTATTTTTACCATTTTCCTATATTACGAGGTCAAATGTCAAGTCATGCACATGTTCTTACACTACACATATATGTACAGAAATATTTTTGAAAGTACAGTTTTATTTAATAAAACTAAAATATATGTGTTTGTGAGGTTGCTGGTTTGGTGGTACAACTAAGTATTGGCCGTAGGGTAGATGGTTGATTGAACAACTATCAGAAGCTGGTCAGCTGGTCCCAGATACATTCAATCCTCCCTCCACTCTCCGGAAAGGTGGTTGGGAAATGGAGGCTGGTATCTTGGGGAATAGGGGAGTGGGGGGAGGGTCGTATCAGAGCAGAAAATCTTGAGGGGACGTCGTATTTTGGCCAACGGCCGTAAGTGCCCTGTGGGAGGTGGGTTGGAGAAGGCGGTCCTTCGACGCGATCACACTGCCGGTGACATGTTAAAACAGGTGAAAGTGTGCCGCCTACCGATGGGCAACTCGTCCAAATCTCTATAAGCTATAAGGTTTTCGTGAGTGACAGCCCATATAAAGCTGGCATCGGTGCAAATTTAACCAGGTCACCTCGTAGTGATCAGTCTGGAAAATGCACTAGTTCGAAGTTTTAAACGAGTTGCTCTAGAGAGACGGACAAGACAAACGTGATTTGCGCGGTGCCGCGCGCGACGCGTCGTGCGGCTTTGCGCGGCAAGTTTTCTCGTGCAACAGTTTGTCAATTGGGGCAGCGAAACTCTTATGTACTGGAGTGCGACATTCCATAGCAGGCAATTTGAATTTTCCTATCTTCTTGACACTCATATTCAAACAGCCAAGCAGTAAAACTCGTCCGTTGGGCCAAATTGGGCCAAACAACTCTCGCCACGCCTGCCAGCGCGGCATATTGCGCAGAGCACATAGCTGACTAGGGATTTTGGTTCGAGTCTGGGCAACCCCCCTCCCTTTCTTTAGGAACAAACCCGCACTGGTTGAATCCTCATCGAACTGTCGAGGGAAGTAAATAGCACATGTGAAACGGGAAGAACTTTGAGGAAAGTACGACCTCTCTCCCTATCACTTCTCGGATTTTCCTTGACTTCCTATCACTTCATTTGGGAGCTCAGGAAAATTTTCCTACTTTTTTCCGCAAAATTTCAAAAGTTTGCTGTCGAGCGGGGGAACGGGGAGGGGTATATAGTACACGTGAAACAGGAAAAACCACGAAAAGTCAGCAAGCTCTCTTAGTATTTCAGAGCGTTCTTGAAACAAGAAAACCAAATACCAAAACAATTTTTCTTGGCCTCAGTACGACTCCCCTCTTCCAACGACCAAATACGCGCTCCACTATTTACGAATCCCCAACAACGATGTGCCCTGAGCTATAGACTTACTATTGGATTGGCTCGATGCTGTCACTGCGTTAATATTGCAGTGTTAAAACCGGAAACATTATGCTAACCCTGCTAGGGATAAGTTGAAGTGAAGAGAATGATCTTCGAATTCCATGCCTTCTAAGCAATGACCAACCTTGTGCTTTTGTTAGACGTCACCAACTTCTTCTGTCCAAGGCCTCTACTGTTTAGGTACGCAGAGAAAGGCCTCACAGTGTCAAATGCATGGAGCATTTCCGATGGCTCTATCAGCGCTACCCACACCATTATCATCTCTGTCGTCTTTATCAGTTGATGTGGCTGCAGTTCAGAGAGTAATCTCGAAAGGTCACTAGTCCTCTGAAAAGTCACTCAATCGGCTTGCTTTAATTCACAGACAATTCCTGCGATCTAACGATCCGTGAAATTCTTCCGTGCATTTAGAAGACAGGTCGGCACTCGCAGTGAGCGTACCTTTTTCGTTTCGGAACGTGTGAAATAAAGCACTCACATCAGACATAGAGAGAGACAAGTGACATTTTTCCACTTTAGCGTTTTCAGACTACAATACAACATTTACACCGCTAGTTACCGTGCGTGTTGCCTGCAGCATCGTAGGACAATCTGATATGCCCTCTCATATGCCCATCAGAGAGAACGATAGCGTGTCGAATTCTGCAAGTTCACGAGATGTTCTGTTTCCTCTGGACACCTTTTTGAATTAACAAGGAAGTCCATTGTAAGGCAGGATGCGTTTAAGCATAGCTTCGAGTCACCAGCGGTGCAATCGCAGTGATGCAAAAGTTCGTGCTTTGCTTACCGCAATCCTAATTTCCTACACAGCGTTTTCGAGCCGGTATTACGGTTTCGTTACTTTCGTTACAAGTTTCGTTCCAGTGTTTTTTGGTACCTGGTGGCTTCAAAACTGAAAGATGCGAAGAAACGATTTGTTACTTAGGGGTTGCACAGAGGCCGAATGGCGCCGATTTGCCAGCAAATCCGGAGAACACGTACAGGTGGGCTATGTGACTGTCGCGGAGGGGTTTCAGGGTGTTCTTGGAAACTCAATCGGCTTTAACCTTCACTGGGAAGTTACTTATTGGCCAATGGTTTATAACTGAACACCCACCATCCACAGTACTTGATCGCGGAAATTCTTTTGAACTTTCCCATGAGAACGAGCTGACCTAGAATAGCTCGAGAAAGTTTATGAAGGCTGACATGAGGGCTTGATCGAAGAGTGTATTTGCGAGGCTCACCCATAGAATGCTAATGAGCGTCTGTAAATCTCGGCCCAACGATTTGCAACGGCGGATTCTCTGAACCCGTTCGGATGTTCCACTCATAAAGAATGTCGCATTGAAACAATCGACCGGTACGCGGTTGTCGGGGGCTTTTATCGCGTCACATCCGCCCCATCGTCGCGGGTCGACATCGTGGCGATCGACGACGACGAACATCAACCGGGCGGTGCCCGTCTTGAAACAATTAGACGGACGATCAGCTGGTTGATTGACTGCTGACTGCATTTCACCAACATCATGACTATCCTGATCAGCGCTTGGCTTTTTTCCCGTTTTCTCGTTCCACTTATGTCGTCTTCATCGCCAAGAGTTCGCTCGATTGCGCCATTAATTACATTGTCACCCTGTTGGAGATCCGATGTTGTTCTCTCGGGTTAGCTACACTCAATCCTTTCATATTTTTGTCACGCTAAGGCAGTTTTTGATACCATCTTCCCTAGTCCATTCAATGCCGCCTCAGCTGTTCGTTTACCATTTATCCAACACCTTTTTCATATCTGCTTCCGTGTGGAACTCCACTAAAACTTTTTTATGGCTTCGTCCTATTTAGCCCTTGAGAAGAGAGTGAAGAACACGGGGAGCTCGAGGAAATCAGTCTCTTGTTTTCCACCTCTGAAGAAGGTCAAAGGGGGATCGCCGTGTTTTTATAGCAATTATACGATCATCCGGCCTTGTTGTCTTTGTCTGCGAGGGTTCGTCATCCCCCCCCCTCCCTCACGCTC